TTGCTCCCAGCACCTACTGAATGGGTGAGACATGCTCTGCCTGAAGGAACTTGGATTCCAAGAAGGCAGTTTCCCTCCCACGGACCTCTCCCTGGGCATGCATCCATGTAGTTATCAGACAGCCACCAACCAAAGGAAATTAACTGTTCTGGACTTGAAAGTCTTATGAATGTTTTCAGACACTCCTCCTTATAAAGAAGTAGCTTTGACTCTCACATGTCTATTCTCCAGATTTCCTGGGTCGCACTGAAGTTCCAGTGGCAAAAATTCGCACAGAACAGGAAAGCAAAGGCCCCACAACCCGCCGACTCCTGCTGCACGAGGTCCCCACCGGGGAGGTCTGGGTCCGCTTTGACCTGCAGCTTTTTGAGCAAAAAACTCTCCTGTAGGGGCCTCAGGGATCTGCCCAAAAGGCTGGGGCTAGAGACGGACGGTGCTGCCCCTAGGCTAAAGGAGCATCACAAGGCTTCATCCATTGCAGGCCACGCGTGCCAGGTCCGGCCCTCTATTTTATTGCACACTAAATAGCTAGCAATCTATGCAAACATGATCTTTCCTAGAAATAAACCAAACCCACAGCACAGTGCCTTGTATTAGTGTTAACATGTTTGGCTGTGTTTAGATGCCAAGGTTTCCATTTTCAGGGCTATAAAAAGTATTATGTGGAAATGAGGCATCGGAACAGCAGACGTTACCACTTGGTTGAATGTGTCCAGTGTGGGTGGTTTTGGTGATGCTGTAACCATTCCACGCCATGTGACCTCTGCGGGGTCACAGCCACTCAGGAGGCAAAGGATCGGGAAGAAACGCTGCAGCCTCAGTGCGGGAACAGCCTGATACTGAAGTAGGTCTACTCGTGCACTGAATGAAAACAGAAACTTGATCATTTTATTCCTGACTAGATTTTATCATCTCTGCTCAGACAATATAGTTTGAAATCTAAAGGGGAAAGCTTGATTTACTTTAAATACTGTGAACTCTAATGATGTGGAAAATATTTTTCAACTTTAATTTTCTGAAGTATAAATTATTTATGTAAATTCCTTGTTTTTGCATATTTCATAGGACATGCATCTTTAAGCTTTATCATTGCCAATATGTACAGAAAGAGAATAAAAATATAAGTTTATGAATGTAACTTCTTTCAAAGCTTGACTGATTTACTTTCCACCTGAAAAGCTCTTGAAAGGTAAGTTCAGGGGTTGCTTGTAGTGAAACCAAATTTCCTTTCTGTGACAGTGGCAAAAACCAAGAGGGGGTGGGGGAGGGAGGGTGTGGTGCCTAGGAGACCCTGGAGCCTCGTCTTGACTCTGACTTGCTCCATGACTCTAGTAAGTTGACCTACGGTTTCTGGGGCGTGGTGTCACTGATGGCTAGACTGCTGATCTCTGTGGGAGTAAGACCATACCTTCTTGAGTCCTTCTGCCTACTTGGTTGAGCAGGAACCTCAGAGGTAACTTCAGAGTCAAGAAAATACACAGGCATTAAACATCTTCAGCAGGACCTCGGCCTCCAGCTCCAGAAGCACCTGTCTCTCCCTGTCCCCTGTCCTGTCAGACCCACATCCACACCTGTCAGCGCTGCTGGTTTGGGCTCTGGATTTTGTAGTGTGAGATTTGTTTTGAACATTGACAAAAATCAGGTCTTACCCACTAAATTCCTGGGTTAATGAGTACAACTGGAAAAAGATCTGCTTTTTAGAAGGAACCACGCAGGCTATAGGAGCCTTGATTCTCAGGGAGCACATCTTAGGGAGCTAGATGAACAGGAAAGATTCAAATGTCCCTCCACCACAGCCCCCGTTTCTGTCTAAACATAACCACTGAGCAAAGAAGGGCTGGAAAACATAACTCAGAATGTTCAAGTTAAAAAAAAAAAAAAATCTGCCATTCTGGGTATTAATCCTGGGCACTTATTTGTTAAAACTTAGATGTAAAAGAAATATGGCCAGTGTCAATAGAAGAGACACCACTCAACATCTGAAACCAAAACACCTGAATGTATTAATTAAGGGAAAGTTTGGCTGGTCAGGCGCAGCCTCACTGAGCAAAGCAAATTGCTGATCTTCTATAGGGTCTTGAAGGCAGGTATGGGGCGATGTCCAACAAGTCTGCCTCTGACTGGCTGAGTTCCAAAGCCTGAGACAGTCTCTGATGAGTCAAGGCCAGTTTAAAACCAGTTGTGGGTTTACTTGTGACCCGAGCTAAAGGATAATCCTTTTCCCAGGACAGCAGGGACTTGAATTCTCCCTGGGATGAACTGTGGCTACTGCCATTTCCCCATGTCTACATGTGTCAGGGTTCTTTTCAGATTTAGGACAGAGGAGCCTGCAGGAGGTGAGTCAGACTTCTACAAAACTCCAGAGGACATTCAATGTCCACGCTCCTCACAACTCCAGTCACCTGTTTTGACCTGGGACTGCAGCTCTGCCTCTTAAGAAATGAAGTTCTCTCCTGACTGAAACGTGAGCCTAATTTTCTGAAGGATGAGGGAGGAGGGTGTGCCCTTAGACTCCTTGCGTCCCCTGGAGAAGGACTGAGCAGATAGGAGAGATGCCCAGCAAGCCACCACCGACTCCCTCACCCGCCCCCCCCAGTGCTCTTCAGAATCAGGACTCTGCGGCACGCCAACAGGATAACCACTCTCTGAAGGGGACCGAAACCCTGAGCAATTTGACTGACATGACAGAGTCTGAGTGGGGTGTGTGTTCTGGTGATTGGACCGGTGCTTTGGCACTAGACGGCCTAGACTTGGAATCGAGACCACCACCACTTTCAGCCGTGCAGCTGACATTGAACAAGTTACTCAACCCCTCTCCAAGCTTCACGTAAGGGGAGATCATGCTGTCATTTTGCTGTGAAAACTTTTACATGAATATAAATACCTCTCGCAGTTCCAGGGCTCCTGGGTGGCTCAGTCAGTTAAGCTTCCAGCTCTTGATTTCAGCTCAGGTCGTGTTCTCACAGTGTGTGAGTTCAAGCCCCCCATCGGGCTCTTTGCTGACAGCGTGGAGCCTGCTTAGGATTCTCACTCCCTGTCTCTCTCTGCCTTTCCTCCACTAGTACTCTCTCTCTCTCAAAATAAATAACTAAACTTAAAATTTTTTTTCTAATATATAAAAATATCTCACACAGTTCCTAGTTCACAACGGCTCAATAAACAGTAACTATTATTGTTTGTTACTGCTTGCAACATCTTACACTTCTGGAGAGAGAAAACCCATTGGCAGCATTTTAACTGTTGGCACACAAATGAGGAAGTAAAGCTCAGCGAAGCTTTATTACCATGGCCTCCTTACAGATGGCACCGTTCCTGGCAGCCATGCCTGAACCCCAGCTGCAGGGAGGCCGGGTGCCGCCCCAGGACTTTTGCCATCATCACTCTTCTTAACACGGGCTGTGACCCCCACCTACACTGGCCTTCCCCAGGCACCCAGGGTTGTGGTCTGTGCTGTCTGGCACCTCGAACCTGTGAACAGAAGGGAAGTGCTAAGTGTAGGGCAGGGAAGAGGGGCTGACTGGGGCAGAGAAGAAGGCCCCAGTGGATCTCACCCAACACTCCGCCCTCCTGCCTGAGCTGAGACCTTCCAGGCAGTCCTCTCCTCACCTCTCCCCTACTCTCTTTGGTTTCTGCAACTCTCAGCCAAGGCTTCCCAGGTCTTTGGACTCCACACAGTACTGACCTCTCCATGGTAGGGTGGAGGTGACTAGCTGTCCACAGAACACCTGCTCTCCCTGCCATTGTGCTCAGAGCAGCAGAGGCTACTTCTCCCAGCACCCTCCCTCTGCAGTTAGGGACAGCCATGTCCTCCCCAGTGGAACATGTGAGACCTGGCCCACCTACACTTCATGCCCAGGGAGAACTCCTCCATGACCTCTTCCCTTTTCAGGTTCCCCAGGGCAAGCTTGGAAGCCAGGCACTGAAGATGACAAAGGTTCCATCAGCCAAACTCATGAAAGAGGGACAGCCTGACACCCTGCTGACCTAACCTTTTCTGGTACATGAGCGAGAAATAAACTTCTATTGTGTGTAAACCAGACTCCATTGTTTGGCTCTCCTGGTGACAGCAGTGAGGCTACCCTTCCAGAAGGGCAGAGCTGACTACAGTCCCATCCAGATCTGACAGAGGGGCTTGGCTCTCAGTTATTCACAGAGAAAATTGCTGTGGAATGGAAACTTCCATTCTCCCATTTAGGAAAATCCGTTTCTCTCTTGAGAGACTAGGGAAAACAATGGGATTGGGTGGAACCTGGGTTAACAACCTATCTGACAAGATTTTCACGCTCTTTGCAATGGAGGCAAGAGTGGGGAGGTCAGTGAACACACAGATCCACTGCACTTAAGACACCCACGAACCCTTACAACTCCCAAGCACCCAAAGGCGTTAGGATACGGGACGTGGGAGACGAGAGGATGGAAGGGAAAAGCGAGCAAGAGCTATACATGTGCCAGTCAGATTGTGAGCTCAGGATGAGAAATCTGTGCATGGAAAATGCTTGCATATAAAACAACTTTTATGATTAAATAAATAACTTTTACGTGTGTAAACCATCATTTGGCCTAATTTTTTTTTTAGTATAAATTTCAGAAGATTCCTACCTACTGTGACTGCACTAAGGAGAACAGATTTTTTTTTCTTTTTTTTTTTTTTTTTTTTTTTTGGGTCTGGTGTGGATGTATAAATGGTAGGAAAATGGCAGAGGAGCAAAAATTCAGGGAAAATTTTCTCTGAAAATTTCTCTGACCAGGATTTCTCTCACCTCGTGAGGACACAATCTGTCCTCCAAAGCAGGTTCCGGGGTCCCACTATGTGCACCTTTTCTGAGTTTCCAAACCCCAGACTCCCTGCCACAGGGTGCAGCAGCACCAAGCCCAGAGGCAACCCCACCATTTCCTGTGCATGAAGTAAATCTTCTGCAACATCCTTTCCACTCCCTTTTTTGCCTCCTGCCTTCTCTACCCTGGGGAACCTGTGTCACAAGGAGGGATGTGTCAATGGCTCAAATTCCAAAATCAATGCCTGTCATCTTGTGCATGTTGCAACTTGTGCCATCCCAGCCCTGCTCCCCCAGATCTCTGCTCACCACACAATTCCTCTCTTCCATTCCATTCTCCTGGCTGAGCTTTGAGGAATGAAATTGCCTTTCAAAAATGGTCTTAGGTCAGTAGTCTCATTCTCTTCATCAGGCAGATATTTATTTTCTGAACAGATAAGTTTCTCAGGACTGCAAAGAAAAACAGAGAAAAGTATTTCAACTCCATACAAACAGAATTGTATTATTCAATAATTGCTGCAAATTAAGTTAGCAAACTCATACTTCATGAAAAGGAAGGACTGAGTAGACATCACTTGGTGGCTGTCCATGTATCAGTCTCTCCCCCCCCCCCCCCCCCCACTCCTGCTGGCACAACCGTTAGGTAGGCAGTGAGTCATGTGACCCTTCTCTGGTCGTGGCTGAGGCACCTGGGCCAGAGCCTCAAACCCCTAGAGTTGTAAGTGGGATAGGGTGGCTTCCAGGCAGTCTGTCACTGCTCAAACCAGAAACTCAGGCAGGCCTGGGGCATCCATTTTCCAGCACATGCATAAGAAAGCAGAGAAAGTAAGGAAGTAGGTTCACAAAGAAGCTCTGATGAAAGCCACATAGTCCCAAAGAGGAAAGAACATGGCTCTTAGTCCCGTAAGCAGCCTGTTTGTCCTCCTGACTGCTATGGTCTGAATGTTTGTGTCCCCCCAAAATTCATATGATGACACCTAACCCCCAACGTGATGGTATTAAGATGTGGGGTTTAGGGGAGGTGATTAGGTCATGCAGGCAGAGCCCTCATGAATAAGACTAGTGCCCCTATAAGAGACCCTAGAAAACTCCCTCACCCTTCCCAACATGTGAGAACACAACAAGAAGGTGCCATCTAAGAACAAGAAAGTGGGTCCCCACCAGATTCTGAATCTGCCACTACCATGATCTTGGACTTTCCAGCCTCCACAACTGTGAGAAATAAATTTCTGTTGTTTATAAGCCCCCCCAATCTCTGGCATTCTGTTACATGAGTCAAACAAACTGGGACACTGACCATGGCTTCTGTAACAGACCAGTGATTTCTAACCTACCTAGGTTCCTCCCTCCTTTTTTTTTTTAACTTGAGGATTCTGCTTTTTGTAATCACACTGTCTCTAACATAGACACCTTGTCTTTAAGTCCTTTTCTTACTTTACTGAGCGGCCATGTGAACACACTTCCAGGTGTGTCCTCCCAGAGGGTTTCCAGCACCTCCCAGAGAAGCCCAGACCTGTGGAGGGAAAGCAGCTTTCTCCTTCATTCCTCCATTCATTCCTGCATTCATTCTTGCCTGCCTTCCTTCCTTCCTTCCTTCCACAAGCATTTACTCATCCTCTACTGCATTCCAGCTAAGTGCTGGGAACACCAGGATAAATAAGACACAGTCCCTGCCCTCAAGGGGCTTGCTGGGGTGGGAAAAAGCAGATGGAGGGTGTAATGGTATCACACCATGTGATAATTCCCTCTCTTGGCTGGACCACAATGGCCAGTAATAAAATGGAACAAAGCCATGAAACAACATGGCAGGTCAGGCAGTTATAACTGTGCTGATTTGACCCAGATATTTTTGTAGTTTATTTATACTTCTTTTCCTTAAGGGAAAGGGATATTTTTAGATGAAGCCAGAAAGGCTGGCAAGGCCCATAGCACCTTATGTGCTATGTTAAGTGTCTGGACTTTATTGTAAGGGTTATCGGAAGCTACTGAAGGGTTTTTGACTGGAGAAGTTCCATCACTTCAAAGACATTCCTCCAGCTGCTAGGTGGAGAATTCACTGGAGGATACCAGATTAAAGGGCAGAATACCACTTAAGGAGCTGAGGAGCTACAAAGTGGGGATGATGAAATAGAGCAAAATAAAGCCTTTGTCTTGCTGGAAGATGGGAAGTTATATAATTATTGAAGTCTAAATTGTTTGTTAAAATGTATAAACAAGCCAAGAAATAAAACATAAAACTTCCAAATCAGAAGGGGAAACAGTAAGTAGCACTGTTCACTCCAGTAAAACTCTGGATGAAAGATAAAAAGGAAATGTTGGAGTGCCTGGGTGGCTCAGACGGTTAAACATCTGACTTCAGCTCAGGTCATGATCTCACAGTTCATGGGTTCAAGCACCCGAGCTCTTCCCAGCTGACAGCTCAGAGTCTGGAGCCTGTTTCAGATTCTGTGTCCATGTCTCTCTGCCCCTCCCCTGCTCACTCACTCACTCTCTCATAAATAAATAACAATTTTTTTAAAAAGGGGAAAGTCCAGCGGCCTGGAAGCAATCGGGTTAAGTGTCCCGACCAGCCGGTCACGATCTAAGGGTCCTGTCGTGATTGAGGCCCAGCTGCTTGGGCTCTAGGTCTGATGGCTCAGAGCTGGAGCTCTTCCGGCAGTTCTCCCCTCTCTGCTCTCCCCTCCCCTGTTCATGCTCTGTTCTCTCTGTGCCCCAAAATAAATAACCAGAGAAAAAAAAAAAAAATTAAAAAAATAAATAAATAAAAAATTTAAAAAAAATAAAAAGGATGGGGCGCCTGGGTGATGTTTAGCGTCGTTACGCCTAGTCGCGATCTGCGCTCGTCCGTGAGATTGCAGCTTGCTCGGGCTCTGGGCTGATGGCTCAGAGCCTGGAGCCCTACTGATTTGTGTCTCCCTCTCTCTCTGCCCCCTCCCGTTCATGCTCTGTTCTCTCTCTGTCCCAAAAATAAATAAAACGTTGAAAAAAAAAATTAAAAAAAAAAAAATAAAAATAAAAAAATAAAAATAAAAATAAAAAGGGGAAATGTCAAGAGAGCATGACAGGACTTCCATGTTTTATATAGGATTTAGAACTTTGCACAGGCCAACAATCTTGCTGCAACAACTAGAAAAACAGAATATTTACTGCCCCACCCTAGGAAAAAAAATTTTTTGTAATTTTAAAGTCATTGGAAATTTTCAGAGAGGAGACAGCTCTTTCAGAATGAGCTGGCAATCTCTGGCTATTTTCTCCACTGGGGGAATTTGCCAACCTCAGGTAGCAGGGTACACACACTTCTCCATGGTCTCAGCATTTCTTTTGTGGATTTTTTTTTTCTCCCAGGCCTGGTTGTGATCTTGGCAGGTGGGGAGTTAACCTTGTTCTCAACTCCTTCCTAGTAGCAGGCAAGTCAAGCAGTGCATTGAGATAGGGTCCCAGTAGAGGACAGAGATACTCCAGGCCCTGATTCCAGACAGCCTTCCCCAAAACCTACCTGAAAAAGAAATAAGATGCTAGAGCTAGAACTATAAATATAAAACAACTAAAAATAATTCATTGATAGGTTTAACAAAAGAGTATTAGATATAACTGAAGAGAAATTAGTAAAATATCTAGAATCAAATATAAAGTAACAAAAAAGATGGAAAATACACAAAAAAAATGGCAAGAGACAGTAAGGATGCAGTGAGATAGTGAGAAAATCTAAAATATATTTAACTGGAGTGCCAGAAAGAGGAGAGAGAGAATATGGCAGAGGTAATAATCACCAGAACTGATTAAAGACATCAGTTTACAGGTACAAGATGACCTATGGATTCCAAGTAGGAAAGATAAAAAGAAATTCATAAAACTACAGAAAATCAGGCAATAAGAAAATTTTAAAAACCTCCAGAAAAAAAGACAATTTTCTTCAAAGGATCAACAGTGAGGCCAGCAGCTGAGTTTTCAACTGAAAGAGTAAAAGACAACGGGATAGGAGGAAGGGGAAGATGGAAGTAGAGTAGAAGGAGGCTAAACTCACCTCATCTCACAAATACAACTAGACAACTATCATATCATCCTAAATACCCCAAAAATTGACCTGAAGACTGGCAGAACTAACTCCACAACTAAAGGCAGAGAAGAGCCACATCAAAGAAAGTAAGAAATGCAGAGACACAGTCTGGGAGAGAAACAGATCATGGCCAGTGGGAAGGGAGCCATGGTAGTGGAAAAGGATGAGAGCCAGACTAACAGGGGAGCCCACAGGGGGAAAATGAATCCCCATAGTAATTGGCTTGGAAAGCAGGAGGGGCCAAATTTCATGAGTTCTTGCAACCAGTGGGACTTAAAGCCTGGAGTTCTAAGGGTCAGGGTTCTTGGCTCTGGAAAATCTCAGAGGACATCAGGAATGCTCTTGGAGAGAAGGCAGGGCAAACAACTTGCAGATATACAGCATGGAAACAACAACCTCAAGAGCACCTGGGGCACACAGTGGGGAGATCAGTTGCTCCTATCAGGGCGTGTCCCAGAGAAGCAGCATTCACAGAGAGACTCCTCCAGGAACCAAGGAATTGGCAGGTGCCATTTCCCTCCCCTACCCTTCAGCAAAAGCACAGAGCTACCTGTGGGACCCAGCACAGCACAAATACTCCCTACCTAACTTGCTTACACCAACCCTTGTCACACCCCATGCTTCAGTGGAACTGCCCTTTCTAAAGTCATGCTTGCCTCAGTCCCAGTGCAGCTGAAGATGGGCCCAAATCTCTGCCCAAACCACATTTCCTGACCTGGGAGTTTTGCAGAGCCTCAGTTCCAGGGGCGGTGGTGACAGAGCTCATTTAACAAGCAGACAGGGCACACCTAGTTAAAACACACCACATTAAGACCAGAGACCAAACACTGCCCACAACAGGCAAAGAGAGACTATGGAGACAACTGGCCTGAAGGATAAAGCAGGCAGAACAAAACAGCAGAGCACAGACACCACACACTGGAGACACCCCTGGAACTGCTAGGCCCTAGTACACAGGAGACACTGCATGGCAGGGCACTATAAGATCTCTTCTTCATAAAACCATTAACCTCAAGAACAAGAGACATAGCTGACTTTCCCAACACACAGAAACAGGCAGAGACTTAGACAAAATGAGAAGACAGAGGACTTTGTCCCAAATGAAAGAACAGGACAAGGCCATGGCCAGAGATCTAAATGGAACAGATATAAGTAATATGGCTGATGGATAATTTAAAGTAATGGTCATAAGGATACACACTGGAAGAGAAAACAATGGAGGATATCAGACCATTAACACAGAGATAAGAATAACATAGCAGAAATAAAGGGTTCAGTAAACAAAATGAAACACACACTCAATGGAATGAACAGCAGGCTGGAA